AAACCCAGAGGGATTCCTTTTTATTAGAAGAGACCCGGAAACACTATGAGAAGCCGCGCGGTCTCATCAGCCAAGACGCATATTGAATGTCCTGAGTTCAGATAGGGAGCTGTGTTGGCATGGAGTCATTGAGACCTTGGGTGCCGTCATTTCAGGTCCTACCAAAGTCAGAAGGTAATATAAGCAGACCAAAACATTTTCTATCACGCCAAAAATTCACTGTTAGGCTTACCGGTAACTATTTCTGGGAATCTTCCAGGACAGCAACCTGAGAGATGGTTGGCCCCTCCTACAGGAAACACAAAAGAGAACAATATAAAAACCCCTTCACACCCCTTGTCCCTCAGTTGAGATTAAAGTAGACTACCTCCACCAGTGCAAGAGGGCAGCCATAACCAAAAAAAACAGAACAAAGTTAAACAGCCCGGGGTGGGAAGTAGGCTCGCTGTCCTGGAAGATTCCCAGAAATATGGTACTGCTAAGTCTAACAGGGAATTTCCCCAATTATCTTCCAGGACAGCAACCTGAGATGATAGGCCCCTCCTTCTACAGGAAACACAAAAGAGAACAATGTAAAAAACCCTCCCACCCCCCTTTAACCCTCAGTTGAGATTAAAGTAGACTACATCCACCAGTGCAAGAGGGAAGCCATAACCAAAAAAACCAGAACAAAGATGAACAGCCCAGGGTGGGAAGAAAATTTGCTGTCCTGGAAGATTCCCAGAAATACCATTACCGGTAAGTCTCAAGGGGAATTTCCCCAATTATCTTCCAGGACAGCAACCTGAGAGAATAAACAAGCAGCATGAACACAAGCCTATCTCCTCAGGGCGGGTCTATTGTCTGTAGAACTTTCTTTGCCAAAAGCCAGATCTTGCTGGGACTAGACACTTTCTTCAAGCATTACAGAGTTGGAAGTCCTGTCCCAGCAAGATCTGGCTTTTGGCAAAGAAAGTTCTACAGACAATAGACCCGCCCTGAGGAGATAGGCTTGTGTTCATGCTGCTTGTTTATTCTCTCAGGCTGCTGTCCTGGAAGATAATTGGGGAAATTTCCCTTGAGACTTACCGGTAACTGTATTTCTGGGAATCTTCCAGGACAGCAAACTTTCTTCCCACCCTGCGCTGTTTTATCTTTTGTTGTTTTTTTTGGTTATGGCTGCCCTTTTGCATCGGTGGAGGTAGTCTACTTTAATCTCACTGAGGGACAAGGGGGGTGGGAGGGGTTTTTATATTGTTCTCTTTTGTGCTTTCTGTAGGAGGAGCCAATCATATCTCAGGTTGCTGTCCTGGAAGATGCATATGAGCCACAGAGCTGCACCTCCCTTCCAAGTGGTTCTCAGGGCATGCAAGCACAGGACAACATGCAGATATTGTCCTGGTCTGAATACGCACAGAAGACTCCAGTGCTGCAAGGGGAACTGCTAACCACTCAGCCACTTTTGTTTTATAAAGTGGTCCCCCGGGCAATCAAAGCATACAGATAGTGCCCCTACCCCAACTGAGGCAGAATATAATGCACATTTTGACAAGGAGATGATCTAACTATGCTCCTCGGCACCAGTGGCGATAGCGCAATGGCATTACTGAGCTATACGCTGGGCGGAAAGGACAGCGGATGGAGGCTGACAGGTAAGAGGTGTGCAGGGGTGTGACCAGCCCACCTGAGACCCCCCCCGTAGAGAGTCTGTGGTGGGCGCTGCAGGGTCACTCTCAGGTGGGCACTGCAAGGGGCATAACTAGAAATCACAGGGCCCCCATACAAAATTTCTCCCCCATGGAATGTTTCTTCTACAATAAAAACCCGGCAGGTGCCTAGGTGCTGTGTGGGAGTTACGTCATCCCGGCGCGGTCAATCAAGATGGCTGAAGATTGCCAAGCGTTTCTCACGCTTTTATGTCTCGTGTCAAGTAATGCCAATTCTGTTGTCACTCATAGAAAACATAACTACGGAAATGAATTCTTCTACCTGGACACACTCCACACTTTATAAAGCCTGCACAAGAAAAGCGGCGCCCTGAACGCGATTTATAAAAGGTATTACCTCACGGCTGTGCCTTACAGCATGACATTTGTGAGGATGAAGTGGAGCCGAGTGATTAATTAGTATAACAACACGGCGGCGTTCTATAGAAGGGCCCCGAAGCAGCGCTTGCTACTCAAAGTGTCTTCCTCTGCAGGATTGCCGGAAGAAGAGCTGTCCAGGTAATAAATGATCCTATTATACCCGTCTACTAGTGAAGCATCGTTCTGATTAAAGGGCCAATGTCAGTCCAGGCAGCTTTCATCTCCCGGCTCCCAGGACGGCAGCGGATTCAGAAAACGCCATTCTATGAGCTATGTACGGATTGGATTTACAGTTGTAATCAAAATGAGTCGACCCCCACTGCAAATCAGGTTTATGGGCAACATTTACAGACTGAGGTGATGAGGGAACTAGGGAGCAGGAGGTCTTGGGAGGAGCAAAGTATGGGAGGAAGTGATAAGGAACCTAGAGCAGCAGGAGGTCTTGGGAGGAGCGAAGCATAGGAGGAGGTAATGAGGAATCTAGAGCAGCAGGAGGTCTTGGGAGGAGCGAAGCATGGGAGGAGGTAATGAGGAATCTAGAGCAGCAGGAGGTCTTGGGAGGAGCGAAGTATGGGAGGAAGTGATGAGGAATCTAGAGAACAGGAGGGAAGCATGGGAGGTGATGAGGAATCTAGAGAGTAGGAGGTCTTGGGAGAAGTGAAGCATGGGAGGAGGTGATGAGGAATCTAGAGAGCAGGAGGTCTTGGGAGGAGCGAAGCATGGGAGGAGGTGATGAGGAATCTAAAGAAGCAGGAGGTCTTGGGAGGAGCGAAGTATGGGAGGAAGTGATAAGGAAACTAGAGAGCAGGAGGTCTTGGGAGGAGCGACGCATGGGAGGAGGTGACGAGGAATCTAGAGCAGCAGGAGGTCTTGGGAGGAGCGAAGTATGGGAGGAGGTGAGGAATCTAGAGCAGCAGGAGGTCTCGTGAGGAGGTGATGAGGGAACTAGAGAGCAGGAGGTCTTGGGAGGAGCGACGCATGGGAGGAGGTGACGAGGAATCTAGAGCAGCAGGAGGTCTTGGGAGGAGCGAAGTATGGGAGGAGGTGAGGAATCTAGAGCAGCAGGAGGTCTCGTGAGGAGGTGATGAGGGAACTAGAGAGCAGGAGGTCTTGGGAGGAGCGACGCATGGGAGGAGGTGACAAGGAATCTAGAGCAGCAGGAGGTCTTGGGAGGAGCGAAGTATGGGAGGAAGTGATAAGGAAACTAGAGAGCAGGAGGTCTTGGGAGGAGCGAAGCATGGGAGGAGGTAATGAGGGATCTAGAGAGCAGGAGGTCTTGGGAGAAGTGAAGCATGGGAGGAGGTGATGAGGGATCTAGAGAGTAGGAGGTCTTGGGAGGAGTGAAGCATGCGAGGAGGTGATGAGGAATCTAGAGCAGTAGGAGGTCTTGGGAGGAGCGACGCATGGGAGGAGGTGACGAATCTAGAGCAGCAGGAGGTCTTGGGAGGAGCGAAGTATGGGAGGAAGTGATAAGGAAACTAGAGAGCAGGAGGTCTTGGGAGGAGCGAAGCATGGGAGGAGGTGATGAGGGATCTAGAGAGCAGGAGGTCTTGGGAGAAGTGAAGCATGGGAGGAGGTGATGAGGAATCTAGAGAGCAGGAGGTCTTGGGAGAAGTGAAGCATGGGAGGAGGTGATGAGGAATCTAGAGAGCAGGAGGTCTTGGGAGAAGTGAAGCATGGGAGGAGGTGATGAGGGATCTAGAGAGTAGGAGGTCTTGGGAGGAGTGAAGCATGCGAGGAGGTGATGAGGAATCTAGAGCAGTAGGAGGTCTTGGGAGGAGCGAAGCATGGGGGGAAGTGATGAGGAAACTAGAGAGCAGGAGGGAAGCATGGGAGGAGGTGATAAGGAAACTAGAGAGTAAGGATGGGCTGCATGTTCGAGTCGACCATAGGTTCGACTCGAACATTGCATGTTCTAGCGTTCGCCGAACATTATGGGATGTCCGCGGTCTGTTCGACCCCGGCACATCCCACAATGCACTGCGCCGTCCGAAAACGGTAATTGGCTACAGTCCTGCACCTGACCGCAGGTCAGGTGCAAGACTGTGCCAATCAGGGCTCAGTACAAATGTAGAGCCATGATTGGGCAGAGTCACGATGACTCTGCCCAATCATGTCTCACAGCTAAGTCCCTGCAGCACACTATATAAGGCTGCTGACACCAGGGAGGAGCGAAGTATGGGAGGAAGTGATGAGGAATCTAGAGAGCAGGAGGGAAGCATGGGAGGAGGTGATGAGGAATCTAGAGAGCAGGAGGTCTTGGGAGGAGCGATGATGACAGTTTGGGTGATATTCTGAGATGAGGTTGGTGATGTAGCTCGGGGTAGGGTTGTAGATTGTTCTAGAGCTGCAGCTAACGATTATTTTCAAAATCGATTAGTTAGTAATAGACAGAAATGGGGTTAGTCTCTGTAGGCCGAGTAGAGAGCTGCAATAGTTCAGGCGAGAGATAACACTGGTGTGAATTGGTGACGTCATTGGTTAAGAAGTGTCATTTATTGAACATATTACACAGGTGACGTGATTGGATGTGGGGCGTTTTGTTGCACTAGAATGCATGGGCGTATGTTAGGAAAATGAGGGTTTATGGTTGGTGTAGGCCTTTACTGGAGGGCATAGTATTGGCTAAATTCATGTTTATCATAAACAGTTGCCATTTTCTTTGTTTTAATATAGAATACGTTTCGCTCCCCCCCCCGGGCTGCTGATCTCTTGCGGCCTCTTTGTAGTCACCTTCTGTCTACATGCGCTTGCTCAGATGTTGGCTGCACATCATGACTTGTGGCCGGCTTCCTAATAGTGACAGCTGTGAACCAAACCTGTGCAATGTGTGTCGGCACAGACGCTTGTAGTCTCCAGCAGGGATGTGCGTCACGGGGTGGAGAAGACACAATTGGGAGACAGTTATCCCCCAGGAAGTGCAGGAAGAAGGACCCCGATGGCAGGACCACCAGGTATCGGTCTAATAAAATGAGCAGATTTGAAGTATAAGTGCAGCGAGTTTTGGATGCAGGGGAGAGGGACTCAGGTTTTTATTGCTGTCTGTGTCCCCGTTAGGGAGATTCCCTCTCTCCATTTGTCCTGGTGACCGCTATCACTAAAAGGAAATCTCACATTTTGGGTTGTCATCAGAACAGGGAGAGATGGAAAATCTCCCAATGGAGACACTGGTTCTGGTGACTCGGTTGACCACCAAGGATTTCCCTCACTTTGAAGGGATTTCATCTCACTTTCTGTTGTGGCCATGGACAGGAAGTGATGGGAAATCTCCCTAATGGGAGATGGCAAAAAACGGACGAGTCAGCCTCCTTTACACTATACATAAGTTAAAAAAAGCTTTTGAGTACAGTACACGGTACGTCAGCTGGGTCGGTCAGTACGGTACACGGACCCTCGGCTGGGTCGGGCAGTACGGTACACGGAACGTCAGCTGAGTCGGGCAGTACGGTACACGGACCCTCGGCTGGGTCGGGCAGTACGGTACACGGAACGTCAGCTGGGTCGGGGAGTGTGATACACGGCTTCTGGCTGGGTCGGGCAGTCCGGTACACGGCCCCTCGGCTGACTCGGGGAGTACGGTACACGGCCCCTCGGCTGACTCGGGGAGTACGGTACATGGCCCCTCGGCTGACTCGGGGAGTACGGTACACTGACCCTGGGCTGGGGAGTGCGGTGCGCGGCCCCTGATCCGGGTTGGGGAGTACGGTATGCGGACCCTCGGGTGGGTTGGGGAGTACGGTACGCGGGCCCTCAGCTGGGTCGGAGAGTAAAGTACGCGGCCCCTGGGCTGGGGAGTACGGTGCGCGGCCCCTGAGCCGGTTTGGGGAGTACGGTACGCGGACCCTGAGCCGGGTCGGGGAGTACGGTACGCGGACCTCGGCTGGGTCAGTGAGTACGGTACGCGGACCCTGGGCTGGGGAGTGCGGTGCGCGACCCGCGGCTGGGTCGGGGAGTACTGTACACAGGCCATTGGCTGGGTTGGGTTGGGGGGACACAGTATGCAAGGTACACATCTCTGTCGGGTTCATTGAAAATGAATGGACTGTAACACATGAACATGAGGTGGTGCTGCATTTCTGGCAATACAGTCCAGGTGGGTCCATATTACCACAATGCAGGGCGAGTGAATGAGCCCTGAAATCAGAGATTTAATACTCACCTGTCCGGGTACCACTGGCATCTACCACCTCCGGGTAGGTTGGGTCCCAGGCGCCCCCCCCCGCTGGGTGCTGTGGTTTCTCCCACTGCCTGGCCA